TATATATATATATATATATATATATAGATGTGTATATATACTTATTTAATGTATAGAAAGAGAATGGATCTGAAGAAAGAAAGAAAGTGAGTGTTTGTATCTTTTCTGTTATTTCTCTACTTCTTCTTCACTCAACATCCACTTATTGATATCTCTCTCTTTATCTCTTCCTTATTACTATTATTATCATTTGGATTTTCTTTTTCTTTTCTTTTCTTTTCTTCTTTACTTCTTTGAAGTGCAGTCCGTTGACTCTGTAACTCATTATTACAGGGAACGAAGTATATATATATATATATTTATAGATATAGTTAGATAGAGAGAGAGAGAGACAGAAATAAATTAAAAAAGACTCCAACACAGTAATCCATAGAGATTTTCATTCTTTCTATATATATATATATATATATATATATATATATCCATCTATTTATTTATCTAGTTATCTCTCTTGTGTGTACGTATTGGGGTGCTTTTCTCTCTCAATACGTGCGATACATTGACTGGTCTTCACCCCCCATCCACCTGTGTACATATGAGAACGAGTAAGAATAGATAAAAAAAAAACCCATACAATATCAATATCAATTATTATTATTATTATTATTATTATTATTATTATTATTATTATTATTATTATTTATTTATTATCACTACTACGAATAATAACGAGTATATAGCCTCAGATTAGAAGAAGAACAAACGAGAGACATTAGATACACATGGCCGCATTAGAAACACCATCCGTAGAGTCTAGTGGTGTGGGCAACATAGACACCTCTTCTCTCTTTACTAATACTAATACTACTACTACTAATGTTAATAATAATAATGTTAATAATAATAATAATAATAATAATAATATTCCCAAAGCTTCCCAACAACAACAAGGGGAAGAGAAAGAGAAAGAGACAGTTGTGTATGTATCCCCCAGTCAAGTGTGGAATAGTGAAAGTGAGCCGGCGAAGAAAGCCACCACTGTGCGATGGGCAAATCCCCCCGTTATCACACTTCTCAGAGAATCAACACAGACAACGACGAATCCCAATAATAATAGTAATAATAATAATAATAATAATAATAACACCATCTCTACTACTAGTACTACTACTGCAAAGCCTACAATCTCCACATCTACTCCTCATATACAATCTACTCAGCCATTCAACCTACAGTCACTTCTTAGTGAATCTCAACAGCAATTGGAGGAACTTCTCTGGTATAAAAGACGGTGTGCAGCTCAGGAGGCCGCATTAGATACAGCGACATCACGGTATACATCTCTGCAAGACGCATTGCTGGAAACTCGCATGAATGCTCTCGCTGAACAGGAACAACATCGTTTATTTGTGGCTAGTAGTGCAGAGGAAATACGAACACTACAGACATCATTAGATGTGAAAACTACAGCGGTGTGTACATTGGAGGAACAAATGATGGAAATGCGGCGGGAATTGCAGGCATCACGTAAAGCCCTTCATCGTATAGAAACACATCACACCGTGTGGAAACAACAATATATAGAAGAACAACAAGAAGCCGCAGCCGCAATGCAGGAGGAAAATAAGAGATTGAATGAAGAAGTGATGATGTTGCGGGAACGGTGTAAGGAAATGGAGCAACAACTTGAAAGTCAAAGGAATGAGGAAAATCTAATAGCAGACTCTAATATTAATACTACTACTAATACTACTGGTAATAATAATAATAATAATAATAATAATAATAATAATAATAGTAAGAATAATTATGTCAGTATTCCTAGTACCAGTAGTAGTAGAAGTAGTAGTAATAGTAATAGGGATAGGGATACAAAGGTAGAAGATGTTAGAATAGCCGAACAAGAAGCCACCATACTGGCGTTATTAAAAGAATTAGAAGGTCAGCAATTAGAAATGCAAAACGTAAAAGAATCCTTTTCTTTATATAAAGAACGCCTTTCCAACACAGTAACTGCGGTGAATAGAAGATTAACACTATTACAACAGCGAATGGAAGAAATGTGTGGATCTGTGCAGGATGATGACTGTGAAGAGTCTACAGAGGATTTAGTAATGATGCTCTCAAGTAGAATACATACCATAGAGAGACAGTGGAATATTGTGGAAACCAATCTTCAACAAGAACAAGAGGATCTAAACAAACAACACGAAAAAGAAAAAGAAGAAAAAGAAAAGGAATTGCAAAGAGTATATGCAGAGAAGGAAATATTATTACAACAGTTAAATGGTATGGAGAATCGTTATAATCATTTATTGCATGCGGTGGAACGTCAATGCCGATTACTCCTCACAGCGGCCCATAATAATCAACAGCAGCAGCAGCAGCAGAGAAGTCGATCTACTACTGAAAAGATGTTGGAAAAGAACTCGAAGAAGAAACAAAAGGAAGAAGAAGAAAAAGAAAAAGAAAAAGAAGAGGGATATAAACAATATGAAGAAAAGGAAGAACAACCATCTGTACATATTATGGATCGATGGATCTCCTCTACTAGTATTCCTACTTCTACTATTCCTACTAATACTAATACTAATACTATTAATACTATTGGTGAGAGTCTGCGGTGTGAAGATATCTTAACATCATACTGTGAACAGGCCGTCCAGGCATTACTCACACGTCTGCATTTAACCACACGGCATGTTATTCGTCAACTGCAGGAATCCCACACTCAACACAATCGTCTCATCACACAAGCGCAGGAAGAACGACGGCAATTGTTAGCCAACACAAATGAATCTCGTGTACGGCAGCAAAACACCATTAAACGTTTACAATCAGCATTAAAAACCGCAAAAGAGGCGGAGTCTTCACTGCAATCACAATTAACCGCAGCGGCCCGTGCGGCGACGGTGGAGCGGCAATCATTACAACGACGTGTAGAGACGGCAGAGCGGGAGGCACAGGCACGTGTATCTAAACAACAACAACAATCTCAACAAGAGGAGGAACGATATCAACAACAACTGCGGGTATTAGAACAGGAACGGGATCTCGCTATACAAACCATTTCCATACGGGATGAAAAGATTCAAACATTGCAGAGAGAACTCACAGCAGAACGTACAGCCGCACGGGAATTGCAGTTTGATACCCAATCACTCCAACAACGCTGTGATGATCTCACCCGAATTGCAGATGCACTTGAAACCCACGCTGAGCGGGAATCAGGAACACGTGCGGTGTTATTATATGAATTATGTGAACAACTCTGCAGTGCGGTGGCGGTGTTGGTGCTGCGGTTGAGTACAGTAGCGGCCGAGCGGCGTGTGTTGAGTCGACTGTGTTTATTATATGAGAGAGACAAGCAATCGGCGTTGTTGCGATTGCGAGAGTTTCTACGTGAATGGCAGATATGTGAGAGCAGCTCTAACACAACAACAACAACAACAACAACAACAACAACAAGCAGAAGAAGAAGAATAAAGATAAAAAGAAGAGGAATTAATACAGACGAAGAAGAAGAAGAACAGGAAATAGAAGTACAAGAAGGAATATTAACAGGAGAAACAGAGAGACGGCCATTGTATACATTCCATACAGTAGTCTCTGCAGTTGTGGCTTGTGTACGGATGCAACGGTTAGTCCAGTGGCGGTATAATATACAACATGGAAATCCTGCAATGCCCAATCATCCTCTTTACAATCCTAATATGAATATGAATATGAATACTACTTTGAGTACAATGAGTAGTCGTTATAGTAGTATGAATAATACTAATAATAATATAAATAGTCATTATCATGCCCGTTTACACTCCACACCACGTAGTCTACGACGTCTTATTGAAACTGTGCCGTTAGCCTCTACTTTACTTCCCACTACTATCACTACTAATAATAATACTAATACTAATAATATGATGACTTCTAATAATAATAATACTTCTTCTGCTGCTGTTATTAGGCCAGTGTTAGAACTTCCACCGTTATCTGTATTCCTCTCTAAAATAACATCCTCTGATCATGATAGTGGTAGAGGTGGTCATCATCATCATCATAGAGTATTAGATGGGAATAATGATTATCTATTGCAGCAGTTATTTGCCGTTGCGGAATTGGATGAGACGGCGGTAAATAATCATTTCTGTTTCTCAGTGGATCCACCATTAGCGAATGCTCTTTTATTATTTCCACCGCAGTCAACAACACAACGATATCAACATCGATCCTTCTCTGCTAAACAGCAACAACAACAGCAACGGGATTATTATAGTCTTGATAAGAAGAAACGAAAGAAAACATTATCTTCCATTACATTAACAGAAGAATTACAGGAATTACTTCCAATCTTATCTAGATGTGTAAAGAATATACGTGAGAAACAGCGGCAGCAGGAATCTATTTTACAATCCGAAGCTGAAGAGAAACGTCAACTTCAATATAAACTACAAGATTTGGAAAAAGTAAATCTTACATCTACACAAAGACTTCATGAGTATGAACAACATGTCTCTATTTCTTATGTTAGCCGAGATTCCTATCAACAAATTCAACAACGACTGACGGAATTACATACGGCGTTAGAACAGGAAAGAACCGCACGGCGAAGTGTAGAAGATGTAAACGCCGCCTTAAGACAACGGGAAGTGGAGTTAACACGAGTGGTTCATCATTTGCGGGATGAGGTGCGGTTTCTCTCTATGGAGATTGGAGATCAGCGACTATTACAACAACAACAACAACAACAACAGGTAACTATGGCTCCAACAGTGGGAATAACAGGAAAGAATTCCTTCACATCTTGTATACATAATATAAACAGAGATGTGAGAAGTGAAGAGACAACACATCCACTTCTCACATCCCCTCGTTTGTATGTTCCTCAGTCTGTGAAATTGGAAGATATGGAGGAGGAAGAGCGGAGTTCAGCTGCGGGTGTTGTTGTTACTAGTATGCATAGTGAGAAGAGGAATGTGCAGAGTGATGCGGTGGTGTGGCGTATTATTGCTGATATTGAATCCCGGCTTGAGAAGTCGGAACAACAACTCTCATCACAGTAATAGTGGAATTATGTGGATAGATGGGGGTAGTTAGTTTGGGTAGATTGTTTAACACTATTTATATATATATATATATATATATATATATATTATCTCTGCTTTATTATGATAGTGTGTGTGTCTTCCTCTTGCTTTAATAATTATTTGTTTGTTTTTTTCTTTATTGCGGTTTGTTGATATGTGATTTTTTATTCTCTTCTTCATCTTGTGAGAAACACTATTTTTATTTTTCCCTCCTTTCTTTATTTGTTTTTATTCCTCTATGGTAAAATAATAATAAAACCAAGTAAACACACGAATATATACATATATACATAATAAAAGAAATAGTACTCTGGTACTGATCAATAATATTACTATATTACTATAAGGTTATATATATATATATATATATATATATAACTGTTAACGGAATTTAAAAAAGAAGGAAGTCAACGTATATATATATATATACACTCACACACACACTCTCTCTCACTCTCTCATTCTCTCTCTTAACAACGAGTATAGTATCCATGTATGTAAAAGGCAGTGGAATGCCTCCACGCCAGTCAAACAAAAATCCCTCTTCTTCACGAAACTCAAATCTCTCTTCTCATCCATGTGCTCTCTTCGCCTGTCGAGTGTGTAGACGAGCCACCGCATTAGACAGTCAACACCTCACATGCACCGCAACTTTCCCAACAACGATCCCAACAACAACAACAATGGAAATCCCTACAAACACAACGCCAATATCTTCACCAGTTGTTAAACAACCGTTGAGTGGTGGCAATAGTTTCTTAAGAAGTTCATGGACATTATTGCGTCCAGAAGAAGAAATAGAAGAACGTCGACGACGACGAGAAGAGGCATTACATCGGCTGAACACAATAAGAAAAGAATATCTACAAGAAAAAGAAATACATCAATGTATGGAAAAGAAGAAAGAGGATTATTGTGAGAGTGAGAATAGATGGGAACAACAAGAGACGGTGTGGAAACAGCAATTACATCCAGCGGTGCGGGGTTCACTCTTCACAGCCGCTGGGAAGTACACATCACTCACACCATCACCCCATTCACCGTGGAAACATAAAGACTATGCACAATTAAAAAGGAATTGGAAAGAAAAAAGTAAATCTTCTTTTTCTTCCTGCAGTTGTTCTCCTGATCTTAACAACAATAACTATATAAATTGTAATAGTAATAGTAATATACATACAATGTATACAACGGATGATGTTAGACGTAAAAGAGCCTCTATACAAACCCGCATGGTTTCATCTCTTTCATCTTATTATCTCTATCCATATATGTGGTTTGCTGAACGTGAGGCCACTGTGTATATGCAAGAGATGTGGTGTGCACTTTATAATAGTTCCATGCCTCCACCGACTTCTTCCACTTATTTAACTATTCAACGTGGGGAATTTCAACAACAACAACAACAACAATATCTTTTTACTATGGGAACATCATTGAAAGATCAGGCGTTATCAGGAAAAATCTCACACCTTTCTTTACCAAATGTTGGTATACCACAAGTATCTAAAGAAGAAGAAGAAGAAAATAATAATAATAATAATAATAATAATAATAATAATAATAATAATAATGCTACTACTACAACAGCAGCAGTATCACCTCATATACCTTTTTCATTTCGTGAAATACCAATTCTTAATATTTCTAGAATTGAGGCAATGCGATTACGTGAAGAGGAGAAGTATAATGATAGTTCAACTACAACAACAACAACAACTACTACTACTACTAGTAATAATACTACTGCTGCTGTTCCTTCCAATACAACGAGATTTACATCTATGGCGTTTAATCGTGTGAGAGCAGCTACTATGCCATTAATTACATCATCTCAACAACAACAACAGGAAGAACAACAACAACAGGAAGAACAAGAGGAAGAGGAACAACAACAACAACAACAAGAAGAAGAAGAGAAATCACCCAATAGACTTTTAAGAGAAGTATTTCTAATGAACCTTTCTCGACAACTCATGCGTTATGTTGTGCATACAAGTGAAATAGATCTCCCATTGTGTCCACGGTGTTGGCGAGAGGCGTTGGAAATACAGCAGAGGACCACAACTCACATTTTGGAAGATGTCTCTAATCTCTCTATTGCCCATACAAGATGTGATATTGTGAGTCTTGTCCTCTGTTATCGTCATTATTCTATACAAAGAATGAAAGGGTTTCATCATGAAGAGATGGAAAAGAATGTTGTAAATGAGATTGTTTATAGTAGTAATAGTAATAGTACTAATAGTAATAGTGAGTGTTTATTCCACACACCGAAATTAATGGATAAAAACATGAGAGATAATAATAATAATAATAATAATAATAATAATAATAATAATAATAATAATAATAATCATTATCATCATGGGATAGATATAGTTAAGCAGTCAAAAGAAGAAGAAGAAGAAAAAGTAAATAATCAAGAACAACAAGAATCATTGCAGCGATTACAAATAGAAGTGGAAGAAGCAGAAACACGATCGCAACTCCTTTCTATTCTCTCCCGTATACTTAAAGAAGAAATCACAATCATTGCAGCTTCACGAAAAGCCTGTCATTCCGCTTTAAATACCGTAATCGCCTCTTATAATGCCCAACAAGTATCTGCCTTCTTTGATGTAATAGATGTAGACTCCAGTGTAAATGTACGTATGCAGCATGTAAGGTGTAGTTCTACTTTTATCATTAACACTCAGGCATTATTATTAGCATTTCCTATTAACACCAGTGGTGAGATTGGGATGATTGCAGGATTACGATTAGGTCACTATATTCCCCCTCCATCACGACAAGGTACAGTTTCTACTCGATTACAAGATATTCATCGTATAGAAACAACAACAACACCTCCAACACTCATGGGATCTGTCATGCAATTTCATCAAAGTATAGAGGCATCTATTTTACTACATACATTACAAATACAAAATTGTTATACTCGAAGTATACTTGGAAGTCGTTCAGAGTTTGTAAGTGTAGCGGAGATTAATCATGCCTGTGGATTATTACTATTACTATTACTACGACTGACGGAAATGCATCATATCACTCTTACTACTGCAGTCCTTCAACCCAATGGGGCTCGCAGTACTGTAATCGCTATCACTATGCGGGGTTCCCCACCAAAGAAGATATTACATAGTAATGACTTTTTCATTAGTGAAAAGTTTTTTGCCTGGAAAACATTTGGAGCGGCTTGTATTACTGTAGCGGCGTGTGTACGTGAAATTGCCCTTTGGTTAAAGAAGGAATTACAGACATTAACAGAGAAATGGCGTTTACGATTGACAAGTGAAGAAAGTCTACACACAACGGCTTCTTCCTATCCACCGTATGATATTGCGCATGATCGTGTAGATGGATGTTCAGTGCGGCACGGTTCCGTGAGTGATGAGATGTGGACGATTGGAATGAAGAAGTTGTTAACTGTAGTCCAGTGGTGTGTGCGGGCCTCAAGGGATGTGCAGAATCTTCAACAATTGCTAAATGATGGATAATAATAATAATAATAATTATTATTATTATTATTATTATTATTATTATTATTATTATTATTATTAAAGTATTGTCAATAAGAGAAGTTGCAAACGGGGAAGTAAGCGTGTAAATAGATTTGGTTTTGTTATTGGTAGTGTTCTCAGATTACTTTTTTTTTTTTTAATTTTGTTTGTGTAATGTCCATGTTGCTATATATATATATANNTATATATATATATATATATATATATATATATATATAGTGATAATAATGATGATAAGGATAATTGTTAATATTATGACTGTTATCATTTACTATTATGTTATTATTATTATTCTTGTTCTTCTTGTTGTGAGGGTCAATATACGGCACAGTTTTTCCCTTTCTCTTTCTTATCATTCTGTATATTTCTTGCACTCTTTTCCCTGTTAATTTTTATTATTATTATTATTATTATTATTATTATTATTAATTATTTTGTTTAATTCTCCCTTATCCACAAGGTTGCTGAGCTTCCCCCTTTCTTTTCCTTACTTCTTCCAGTGTTTACTTTCTTTCTTCATCCATTACAGCAACAGAAGCAAGAACACACCAACCACAAGAAACAGAACAGCAACAACAACATCAACAGGAAGAAGAATCAGAAGAAGAAGAAGAAAATAGAAAAAAAGAAACAATAAATAGAATAAATAGAAAGAGAAAAGAAAAAAAAAAACTCAGAAGCCAAAGAAAAAGAAAAAGAAAGAAAAAAAAGAAAAGAAAATAGAAAACAACAACAACAAATACTGGTACTAGTAGTAAATGGCAGCACTCAACCAGGTTGCTCTTCTGGCTGCTGGCTGCAGTGAAAGCTGTACACTCCCTGTAGTTGCCCGCAGTAAAGCCATTGCCTACTGCTCCGCTACCTCTATCTACATGCATACACCAACCAAACACACATCTACCAATACCAACAACACCGATCCATTAAGACGTAATAGTACTTCCGTTCCTTCAGCAGTCGGTAATGGTAGTGGAAAGACATTTACAACATATCCACTCTCACGTATATTTGCCAATGGTGTGACGGATCTTATTCAATCCTTTGATTTTAATGATGAATACATGGCTTGTGTGACCAGAGATTGTAAAACGGTTGTTTGGCGAGTGGGAGATGCGGAGGTGTTGAATGGGAAACGACTTCCAAATGCCTTGAGTGGTTTCTTTAAACGTGAAGGAGGTCCAATGGTGGTACGAGTGGCTGGAAAACATCATATTGTGTATGGAACTACTACAGGTTGGATTATATCGGCAAATATGAATGATGGCACAACAACACATCAGTTAAAACTTCCCCTTGATGATAAGAGTAATAGTATTGTCAACAATGACAGTAGTAACAATTATACAGTGGGTCAAATTACTTCTATTGATGCCTCTCCTGCACGTCCGGATGTTTTAGCTGTGGGAACAAGTGAAGGAATGCTTTTTATTCTTTCTTTACATCCAAGTAATGGTTTACAACGTACCGCTACACTTCGACCTTTTGCAACTACCACTACGAATACGAATACGAATACGAATATGACTACTACTACTACTTTGGAGGGAAGTATCAATACAGGTACAGGTAATAATAATAACAATAATAACAACAACAGTTTGGCAGCTGTTACAGTAGCTGCGTTTGATCCTAATAATGCATTTTGTCTTGCTGTTGGTTCTCGTGAAGGGGCTTTGGTGTTAGTAGATGCCGCCTCTGGTACTGTTGTTCAGCGGTTTGAAGTCCAGGATTCACCTATTTGTTCCATTTCATGGATTCCTACACAAAGTGGAACATTTGTCACCACAAATGGAAATTCTTCTAAATTGTCTATATGGACTGTAAACAGTCGAACTTCTACTGTTGTGTGGAATCCTATTTGCGGTAGTGTACTTGTGGGAAGTGCCTCTTTTGCACCGGAACATCTTTTTCTCGCTTTACGTAGTGGAAGTGTAGCGGTATTTAATACTCAAACTCAAGAAGTGGAAATGCAAACAGAAACTGGTCATACCAATCGTTTACATGATTGTCGTTATTCTAAACATGATAAAGATCTTATCGCTACTACCAGTGCAGATGGAACCATTCGTGTTTGGAATACAAAACAACTTTTATTAAATCATACAATTGAAGTGGGATCTGTAATTGTACAAACTATGGATTGGAGTCCATCTGGGAAGTATATTGTTGCGGGTCTTAGTACAGGTGAAGTGGTTTCTTATCATGTAAGTACACAACATGAACAATGGCGTGCCCTTGTTGTCGCTCCTAGATATAATAATCATAATAATAATAATAAAGGTCCTTTTGGTGTTTGTGGTGTGGTATGGAGTCCAAGTGAGGCTGGTAATTACATTGCTGCTGCCCATCGCTCAGGTATCACACTACTCAGTTCTCGTGATGGTAAAGTTATTCGAGAGTACACGACGAAATCACCTGTATATAGTGTAGATATGGAACCCTTACATGCTAAACAAATGGCCGCTGCCTGTCATGATGGTCAAGTGTATATCTTTTCACTTACCGGTAGTCAAACAACTCCTACACTTATACTTACTGGTCATACAGATGTGGTGAATCATGTTATCTTCAATCCCATCATTCCACGATATCTTCTCAGTGCAAGTCATGATACCACACTACGTGTATGGGATCTCGCCCCTCCAGCGGTTGCGCAGAACACTTCTGTTAATGCCCGTGTTTTGCGTGGACACACAGATCATGTTCACGCAGCGGCGTGGTGTCCACTCGCTCCTTATATTGCCTTTTCTGCAGGTGCAGACGGTTGTGTGCGGGTGTGGGATGTGCGGAATGGTGTGCACATCGCCGCCGTACGAGCCCACAGTGGTGTGCATACAAACAATTATAACTATAAGAGTCAAACAGGCCGAATGATGATGGGAGGAGTTGTGGGACTTGCGGGGCCGCACGGCGATCGGCCGCTTGTGTTGGCGACTGCCGGTGGTGTGGACGGCGCGGTGGTGTTTTGGCACGCGGGACTTTTACGGCAAGCCGCGATTGATGCCGCACTCGGCGCCCTTCCATCACGACTCACACGAGATCCACACACCCTCATCGATAGTAGTAAGAATACAAATACTATCATGGGGGTTAATACGAATGTGAATCATCAAAGTAATAGTAGTATTTACTACCTTGCTGGGGAGGCGGTGCAGCAACTCAGTCGAGATCTCGCCGACAGCACACTCACACCACACCGCCGCATGGAGCGTATCGCTAATTTCTTTGAATTTCCATACGGTGCGGTGGATGTGGCTCGTGTGGCCGCCTACTGCAGTGATCCGACGGAGAGTATTCATACACGTTGTTCCGTTGTCCCATCTACTCGATTGGTAGAGGTGCGGGAAAAACTGGGAAAGTCCATGGTGGAAAAGGCACATGGAAGAACCGTTGCGGGTGCAGGAGCGGCGTATAAAAAAACACGACTCATAGAAGCCGCAGATGCCATGCTGCAAATTGGAAATATTACAGAATATTGTAAATTAATGATTGAAGCGGGAGAATGGGATAATGCGATTGCCGCCGCCCCACTTGTCAGTCGTGAGTTTTGGCGATCCACATGTTTACAAGCGGCGGAGGCGATGCAGACAGCAGGAGATGTGCGAGCCACGCGTTATTTTATTATGGCAGAAGAAAGTGCCCGTGCGGCGAGATTTTTGGCTCATCAATCCGATAAAAATTGGGATTCCGCTATTGTGATTGCAAAGACATGTCCACAACGAGTGGAACCCACCGCGACTACAGAGACTCCGCATAATACTACTGTGGATACGAATGGAAGTTCCGCAGTGGTGGTGGAGTTGTTAGAGGAACGGGCATCTATGTTTACATATTCAATGAATCCTCGAATTGTGGCAGCAGCGAAATTGGCAAATGGAGCAAATGATGAAGCTGTCATGCAATTGGTATACAGTGGAGATGTGTTAATGGCACATCTTCTTATTCATTCAGTTCCATTACAACAACAAACAACAATTGATGCGGGATATCGACTGCCAATGTTGCAATCATGTCGTCAACGGCAATGGGATACGGCAGTACTCTGTGCTACTCGTATGTCTAATGCATATGATGGACTGGCAACTGTTCTTTCATTTTGTCAACAGGCATTTGGTAAGATTAAATTGAGTAGTAGTGGTAGTGGTAGTAATAATACTCCCAATACGAACAACAATATTAACAATTTATCAAATCTTCCATTAAATGAAAAGTTAAAATCTATTCATGAACAGATTTTAGGAGAATGTCGTCGTTTACAACTTCCACTTGATATGGAATCTATTCAGCAAAGACATGCTAATGATGGTCTTGCCTCCATTAATCAAATAGCTGCCATGGTATTATCACCAAATACACCGGTAGGAATTGTAACTAGTGAGGAAATCATTCAGACAATGAGTAATTTTATAGATAATATTATTCAAGTGGCTTTACAAGATATTGATGGAACGAATGCTGTTTTCTATTTAAAACAAGCCTATGCAGTGACTTGCTATGTAAGTTTACCTATACAACTTCCAGCTGGGAATACAGGTAATTCATCCGCTTCTCCAGGTTCTTCTTTGGTGTTTCCTGGTGGAAATTCTCATTCTGCGCCTGTACGGAAATTTCTTGCCCTTTCATTCCTTTTAGCGGCATTAATGTGTGTAAAGGTTTACCGTTTTCCTAAACTCCTTAATCCTGTATTCTCCAAGGCCTGTGAATTATGTAATGGTGATACCACCACCATGACACTTCTTTCCAAAGTTCAACAAGTACTGAATGCCTATTCACCACACTCTATAGAGGTGAACTGTACGGTGTTGGGTGAAGAAGTTCCTTTTCTTCATTTTGATAATTATCCTCCTCCTCCTCCTCCTCCTACTGCTACTACTACTACTACTACTACTAATACTACTAATACTAATACTAATAATAGTAATAGTAATAATAATACGAATACTGGCAGTGGTGGTATGTATATGAAGTCTACAGTAACATCAGAGCCCATTTGTGGACCAACACATGTACTGGAAGATGGAATATCCGTGATGAGTAAAAATGAGGCATTGCAGTGGATGTTGTGCTGCGCCTTCACTCCACTCGCATCCGGAGTGAAGATGTTACCACTGTAAATATGAATATATATATATATATATATATATATATATATATATATATATATATA